GAAAAATATTAATAAGAAAAAAACGAAGAAAAGAAAGGTATGGTTAGATAACAAATTTGATGAAGAAATTAAAAAAACACAAACTGAGAGAAAAATACCTACAAACAGGGAACGATACAGACGGAAAAAATATATAGAACAAAGAAAGACGGTGCAGGAATAAGAAAAGGCGTCACCAAGAAAAAAAAGTCGCAGAAATACAAGAAAATTACAAAAAAAATGAAATTAATCATTTCTATAAAGAAGTAAAAGGTATAAAAAAAAACAATATTTACATCAAGGATAAGGAGGAAAATTTAATAGGACGAAAAAGCGAGCAAATGCAAAGATGGAAACAATACTTCCAAAAATTACTGAACGATGAACCTAAATTTAGCAGGTATGTATTGTCAAAAATGGAATCAGGAATATTTTTTAATTATTTATCTTATCAAAATATATTTTTTAATAGTCGAATAATTGATTCTCATTTATTTTTTCTAATTATTCACTTTATCTTCGCAGTATTATACACTTTGAAAAAATTAACACTGATTTTAAATTCAATACAGATCCGTACCAATAAAATTTGGATTACGGTCCATATTACCCAAAAACCGTCATTGAATACCATTGTGTAATACACCACTGGATGCAGGATGAAAAGTTATTTCAAATAATGTTATAAAATATCCAGGTCCATATTAAAAAAAAAATAAGTTGAGAGTGGTCCGGAGAATACGAAACATTGGATGCAAAATATGAAAACGTCAATTCAAAGAAAATTTACTATCAAATAAAAAACCTTAAAAATATTTTTAGTAGATATGAAAATAAATGAACGATAATCAAAAAACCGAAAAGATCGAATTTTCTTTTATCGAAATATCTCGAGAACCGGGCCTGCTATTTTCGATTAATTTCCACCGCTGGATTACGCTTCGAGATTCGCAACTTTTTCTCCATTTAACCGACTTTCTAACTGGTATGGTTTGGAAATTACTAATACAATCCCATTAAAAAAGTGGCCACCCTGTATAAGGTGATTTATTTGTTTGAAGATATTCCATTTTAAGAATAGTACAAAAACCACTAAAATTTCCCCGGTAAAATGTAGGTAACCATTGTTTTAGTATATAATGCTTTTATACCACCTTTATATGAGATGTGAGTTTTAAATTCAAGATATAGGGCGTTAAAGTGGAGAAATGCTAATTTTAGTTATTTTTTCTTCAAACTGAAAAATTATCGTTCAGCACGTGATTACCGTAGCAAAATGGTATTTTGCAGAAAATGCGCAAAACATTTCTAGTGGTGTGTTGTGCGGTTTTTAAACGACTACCACTTGGTTGCTGTCGTGTTGTTTTGATAAATTGCTAACTAGGTATGTACTTTTTTAATAACTTTGTAGATAAAAATTTGCAAACAGGAAGTGTTAACTTTACTTGCACGATTTCATGAATGTTTTTACAAACTTTTTTATTTCTTAGGGCTTGTTTGCTTGACAGAGTTACCTGCTCAAATGACCCATGCAAGTAACTTTGTTTCTTTTTTTGGTAGGTAGGTACTTTTGTAACAAATATGGCATTGCTATATATTGGGGTAAACTTGTTGGAAAACATGGGAGAAAGAGTGGAAAGGCAGAGGTATTTCCCAGATGATTCATTTGATTTATCGGTCTATAACTTTTCTAAACTCTTTAGAATAAGAAATATTGATGTAAAGAATCTAGAAGAAATACTTGATCCCTATTTGGCCTTGTATAATAGGGTTCATGCTATAGCAACAAAACTAAGATACTTATTTGTTGTAGTGTTAATCTAAAAGAATATGCACCGATTTAGAAACCTTTATCCTACCAGTTAGATGTGGAAAGAAACCGTACCCCAACAATTAGCCAACCATCAGTGTCAAAGTGCCTTCATGAAGTATTGGATGCTATGAACAATCCAGACATTTTAAATCATGTTTATTTTTCCAACACATTTAAAGAAATAACTGATCTTAGAGAAAGGCAAGTTTATAGCAAATTACACATTGTTTATTTTGCTTAATTTGACAACTTTGAAGGTACATATTATATAGTATTATTTTAAGGTTTTTAGAAAACATAGGTTGCCGGGGTTGCTTAGATGCATTGATTGCACCTACATTGCAATTGTAAGCCCTATTCAAAACAAGCAAACAGAAAAAATTTGCATTCATTGAATGTCCAAATGGTATGTATTAAACTATGAAAAGGGTTAAATGTAATTTATTGTACAGTTTATTATATATGTTTTCATATAAAGTAGCCAAGTTAGAGAGCCTCACAAATAAAACCATAGGTATTTACGTGTCAAGCTCCGAAAGTGATACTTTACAAAGTCCGAAAATGCAAAAAAAAAAATTTCGTCTGGTCGTCTGTGTGTATGTATGCCGGCACGATAACTCTAGGATGAAAGTTCTGATTGACATGCAGATTTCCTTGAATAATTACTTCTAACTTAGAACCCTATTGATTTTCAGAATTTTCGGTTCATCCTAACTACTTTAATATCAATTTTCTTAAAGTCAGCCTATGCATTTCTCGTTTGACTAATTTAACAAATTCCAAGCATTCCTAACGTCTAAAATTCCTAACATTCCATACATTATATTCTCCAATGACCTGTCAAACAATAGTTGTTGATTCTAAAGGTGAGACTTCTAAGGCGGGTTGCGACCTTCATACTTGCAACTATAGCCATTTTGGAGGCTATTTTTATTCGAAATTAGTCGTCAAGCCTGCCAATTTATGAAAAATATATAAGCAGTTTCTGAAAAATGACTTTTTTATGGTGATACTAACTTGAGCTTACTACTATTTCGCCCCTAGCCACAAAAACACCTTCACCAAATTTACTGGCTCTTTGTCGCGACTACATAGAATAATTAACCGGCAATTTTATTTGACAAAAATCGGAATAATGCTTGGCTGTGCGTGTCAAGTATCAAGATGTCAACTGTGATGTCTGAGTGGCTCTTAAATGTCAAATTATTTTAAAATGTTTGAATGCTTCTTTTAATATTTATTGCAAATAATTTGTAGTCAAAAACCGTATTTTCTATGATTTGCTGCTCATTACTGTTGGGGGAGTTATTTTCGAATATTTTTTGGAAGAGTTCGCCGAACGCTTCACCCTTTTGTCTGTCGGTTGAGCATACTTTGTCGTCGTAATTCAATGTGGGAAGCTGCGAGAAGGGCTTGGTAAAGCCCTTCGCAATTTTCCACACCGAATTGTCCTGTGTGTTGATAGATTCCAGGGTTTTTCTCCACTTTTGGTTTCTATGTTCAAGAATGAGTTTGTTGATGTGTTTACCAATGTCGTGGAGTCGAACCCTGTCATCATCGTGTCTGTGTTGCTGCCAGCGTCTACGTATTTGGTTTTTGTTAGAAATTAGGTCTAATATGTTTTGTGGTAAGTTGTCCTGATATGGTCCATGTGTTTTAGTTTTAGTTGAGGCGTCTCTAGCTTTAATAATTGCAGTGGTTAATTTTTGTATTTCCTCGTCCAGTGTGTTTTCGTTCACGATGTTGTTGTTTATTTCAATGTTTCTGTCTAGTGTTTGTCTGTAAAGTCTCCAGTTTGTGTTTTTGTAGTCAAGATACTTACCCTGTGTTCTGATTATTTTGTGGTTAGATTTTAGTTCAAGATACACAGGTCCGTGGTCCGAAGTCAGTGTTTTGATTGTAGTGATGTTTTGTATATTAGGTAGGTTTTTGGCCACGGCTATGTCTAGTGTGCTCGGGGTCTGGCCGCTGTAGGGGTAGTGTGTTGGTTCGTCCGTGTAATGTATGATGTAGTCATGCGTTTCGGCGAACCCGTCCAGGATTCTCCCGCTATGATTTGGGACAGTGCAATTTGCATCCCAGTGAGGATGTTTGGCATTGAGATCGCCCATCAGAAGGACTCTGTTACCCAGCGCCATGATTGAATAAAGTTCTAGGGAAGTGAGGTGGTTAGCGGGGTGATTGTATGCACCTATGATTACAATGTTGTGTATTTTTATGATCATGTGTTCGAAAGACACATCCAGATTATTCTGTAGTTCGAACGAGAGTGAATTTTTTATGATGAAAGCTATCCCCCCACCCCTGGGTGTCAGTCTGTCCTGTCGTATAACGTTATAGTCTTTTATTTTGAGTTTGTGGGCGGGTTTTAAGTTTAAGTCTCTGAAATAAGTATAATATCAAACCTATGTTTGTGAATGAAACTGCTTACCATGGGTTTTTTGTTAAGCATCCCGTTTACATTGTAAAAACAGATTCTAAGCGTGTCTGTTTTGCCGCCGTGTAGTTCAGTTTCTAAAATTGTAGTTATCTAAATCTGAAACGAATTCATAGTATGTTGTGAAAAATTCCGCGTTATTCTGACATTGCAAAAGCCTGGTATTTAATTCGCGAACGGCTTTGATAAGCTCACCAATATTAACCAATTTACCTAATTGCTGAAATTCGGTGTTTAGGGCTAGGATGTCGTTCATTGGTGCTGGTCGATTGCTGGGGGCGTGGCTTGCTAAGGATATAGTCTCACGCCTGTGAGCCGGCTGTTCAGTGTTCACGTTGATGTTCTTGTTACTGTTGCCCGGCAGGGCTGGGAAGTCTTCTTGGCTTTGAGTTCTGGCTCGCCGGCGGTCCCATACACTTGCGGTGGGGGCCGGTGCAGGGATGTATTTGGGTTTATTTTGTATTGTTTTGCTTCTTTTTTCTTGCAGTCTATCCAGTCTTTCTGTGTAGAATCTGCACTTACTATAGTTTGCAGGATGGTCCAGCCCGCAGTTTGCACATGTGGCGGCTGTATCCCGACTTTTGGTGCATGTTCGGGTGTGATGGTCACCGGCACATTTCAGGCAGCGGGGTGGCCTCCCGCAATTAGATGTAGCGTGTCCATACAATTGACAATTGTGACACTGAATTATCTCTTTGACGGACTTCCTCATTTCCCATATTACGCGGGTGTATAGCACTCTTCGTGCGTTTTTGTTGAGATAATCCAGTGTCAGAGATAAAAAGGGCGGTTTTTGGTGTTCATCCTGAATATGTTGCGAACCTTAATGTCGTATTCGGCCACCAGGTCATCCTCGATGTGCTGTGTTTGCGTGCCTTCAGCTAGACCCCTCAGCACAAAGGCGTGCGACTTGTCTTCACTCGTGGTATACGTGTGATGCGCTATATTTTCCTCCTTGACACTTTTCAGAACCCGTTGATGATCATCTTTATCATCAACGAAAAGTATGGTGGAGCTATTCGTGTGCTTGACACTGAATCCCCCTTTAATCTTTGCTCTGAGGTCTTGAAACAGTGCCGTTTGATTTACTGTTTTCCCGTCAACTACAATGGGGGGCATTAGGGCTTTTTTGTTGTTCGTGGCGGCCGGTGCTGTTTTGCTTGGGGGTTTATTTTTATTTTTATTGACTGCAGGGTCACTTGTGGTGGGTTTTTCGACTGTTTTAGCCATATTGGGAGTATCTTTGGGGGTGTTTTTCCGTTTTCTCTTGACGATTTTTCCGATTTCATCGTCAAATTCGGAATCGGAGTCTTCTGTAAGGACATTGTATTTATTGTTCGTCGTAGTTAGTGTGTTTCGATTTTTCCCGTATCAATCTTTGAAAATTCGAGCTGAATTTGCGTGGGGTTTCGAAGGGTAGCTCTTTTGGGTTCTGGTTTTCTTCCGTTTTCATCTCCTGAGGTACGTTGTTTACACTTAGATTCCAGGTGCTATTTGGCGAGGTTGGTAGTAGCCATCTACCCAGAGGGTTTGGGCCAGCAGCACCTTTTTCCTCCTCTGACGTGTACTCTGAGGAGTTAAAGTTGTGTATGGTGTCCTGAACGTTTTTTGGGATATATGTTGATATGTTTAAGGTAGCATCTTTATTATTTTTTAAACTATGAGTGTTTTCCAGCGGTTCAGTGTACTCTTTGGAAGTGTTTGTTGCTTTTAGGGATGAAGCTTCACCGAGTTCCAGGCTACTCAGTTAACCCTTCTTTCAGTTAGACTTCATTCCTGCAATGTCGTTTGTTTTGATATTCTCCAAACTATAAAATCTGAGTCTGTTTGTTTTAGGTATAGTTCCAGTATTGCGTTTATCTAGTAGCGCGGTGTTTAGTTCAGTGTCTGGACCAAAATTTAGGGTTCTGCCCCTGGTACCTGTGGGCATTTCCATTCTTTTGATGGTCATTTTTGTGGGGTGCTTTGATTCCGCTACATAGGCCGATTGGAATGCTTGCATTTGCGGCGTTGGGCGTTGCGAGTTGTTTGGAGGGGGTATAGGTGCCTCTTGGCTCTGTATACCTGGGGGAGCGGGGTTATTTTCCCCTTCTATGGGGTTAGGTTTGTTGTTTGTCGTCATGGTATTCGTGTTGTCATCTGCGTCTACATAATCGTCGGATTTATCATCACTAGCACTTATGCTTAGGATGGGGGTGTTTATGTTATGTGTACCTTGGTTTTCTGTTATATTTTCCGGGGTATTTTGTAATCCTGTCTCTGTGTTGTTGAGATCAGGTTTCTCCTGCTCGGGGGTGGCGTCTCCTAAGGTATTGCCCTCTTGTTGGGGGTTGTTTTTAATGGTGGTGTCCATGCTATCGTCAGAGCTGGAGGATTCGTTAAGGTCCCCGTAAACTTCCTCTAAGAGTGTTTGGGGGTCATTTAGAGGTCGTTTCGGGGAATTTTTAAACAGGGGTTCCCCCTGTACTGGGCAGCTGATCCCTGTGTTAGTATTAATGGTTGTTAGACCCAATAATGTGGCTTTACTCACTGTGAAATTACCTAGTCGTTTGTTTTTGGCCTTAATATGCTCTGGTGTTTGTATAGTTGATATATTTTTGAGCTCTTCAGTGTGCCTCCATCTATTTCGTTGTCGCTTTGAGTATATTGTTGGGTACTCAGCGAGATTGGGGTTGCCTGCCCCGGAGGGCTCTGTCATAGAGCGGTTACTCCAATTGGTGGTTTATACTTATCCTGGCTGACTCGAACGTTAAATAATGCTTGAAAATTGATAGCTATTTGGTTAGTAACCTGGTGTCGCAAATCGGAACTACGAGGAGAACAAAATTTGGTAAACTTTCCTATGACAAGTACATAGGTATACCTGAAAGAGGAGGCAAAAATAGTTCGGAAATTCATTGCACAGGTAGTTTTAATGGCGAATTTCTCGCCGCCAGAAGTGCTTTTACCAAAAAGTCGTTTTTTCGTTTTTCGATCAGAACCATGGACATGAAATTTGCGATGAATTTGTGGCGAAATTATAAATGTTAGACATATGTGCCCAGAAGAGAAGTTATTATTAACAATGTATAATATCGGAATCAATAAAATATTTTCTTTTAAAATATAATGTCAATGTTGACATCAAATATATTCTTTACAAGACAAAATTCGTAAGCTTTGATAATGAAGGCTAGAAGTCTTCATAACCGTGATCATCCCAAGCTCCACTTCAATGCATACTAAAAATAGAACTAACAAACCAAAAATAAAATAAATTATCCTTTTATTAAGGTCGTCCACAATTTTCTAGAATTTTCCTTTTTCGTAAATATATCTATTTTTTCTTCTGCTAGCTTTCTTACGAAGTGATGACGCACATCTATGTGCTTACTCTTGGCATAAGAAACAATCGGTAGGCTAACTTGTCTTGGCAGCAACTTCACGCGCACATCTCCGCGCACGTCACCATTTCGGTGTCCATCTCAATCAAGCCAGTGTCATCACTGTCGTCGTTTATATCGACTATCATTGCGTTCGGCCTGCCATGTTCCTTTAACTCCTTTAACACTTTTTACTCCATTCTACCCTTTTAGCGTTCAATTAAGTCCGATTAGTGACAGTTTAACACGCTTAAATGTCATTTAAAAGCACCCTAAAAAAACGTAAATATCCCGTCACGTAGCCGGAATCCCTACACAGGAAGCTTCAAAACCGGATAACAGAAAATTCCATCAAATGTAAGCATTATATTTCTTTTCGAGCTAAAAAAGCAACAATCCATCGATGCGTAAATTTGCTTTGAATTTCACAGGTCACATGACCGCTTTCACTGCCAGGACATAGTACAACTTATTCACACTTTAAATTTATTTTGGTTTTAAAAGTGTTTTATTATGTTCAATAAAACGATATTGATTTTATAGAGAACTTAAGACCACTTATTCTTATGCAAAGAATTTAATGCACTCTTTAAATTAAAATAAAAAAGTATTCTCTCTTAATGTCCTATTGATCTTGTACACTGGTTTTAAAATAATCTTGACATTGGCTATTTTAAAACTCATTTGTTATTCTAAAGGATTAAATAGCAAATTGGTTATAAAACAATCCTATATATTCAGTTAAATTACACATTGAATCCAAAAACATATTGTTGCCTTTTAAAGAGTACAATAAGAATATTATAAAGCTTAAAGGTTTTCATTTTAAAAGTTTTGGATTATTGATGACTGTTTTTTAATTAAATTAGGTATGTTGACCTAGGAATACCGAGAGATAAAGATGAAATGCTCAATTATATTTGGACGTAAGCAAAATAAAGACAGATATTTGTTTAACTACGCCCTTGCGATGACAAGGATGGGGACATTGCTGCCCGCAGTCAGCAATCATAGCAAACCACATCTGATTTGGTTAAAGTTACTTTTAAGCAGATATGTGTACGAGGTAGATTTCTTGGTATAATTTACGTAAATTTATACATAAATTAGAACCATTTGGTAAATTTAAAGTACAGGTATATTTTTCAAGTTAATTTTACGTAATAATTAACTCAATAAGTAGATTTGACTTTTAACAAGATGAGTTATAGCTAATAATATCGAAAATGTTTGCTGGGATTAATATAACATCAAGTAATTTTTTTAAAATAAAGTACATGATCTCAAAACAGAAATAATTTATAATAAATGCCGGTAAAACAAGGGATAAAATAACAATAAATTAGGAAAATACTTAAAAAGGGCAGGTTTAAAGAGTATTATCACAAAAAAGGATATCCGTTCTGTTTATTTATCAAGTATTGTTTAAGGTTACTCATGAATACATTTATATTTTTTATTTTCTGTAGGCAGTCTATTACATTTTTGCAAACCTTTAATAAAAATTGCATTTTGGGAACTTTTAGTGATGCTTGCCGTAGATGACTTCTTGTATTATAGTTGTGATATTGCGAATTATATTGAATTTTTTCTAATAGATCTGATGCGGTAGTACTATTTTATTTTTAATTTATAAATAAATATCAGTCATGTACTGAACATAATTCTGAACTGAAACCCAATTTATTTCTTTTAACATAGTTACAATACTCATCCTTCTGTCCTTTATTAATATTATATAAATAGGCGAAGTAAGGAGCCCAAATATTTTGAGCAGGCTTAAGAGGTAAAGGGGCCAATTATTATTGAATAAATTGCTTGAACAAACCCTAATCAAAAGGCGATATAGAATGGTTCTTAAAATCAAGGCTTGTGAAAATCATCACATGTTTTAAACTAATTAATTCCCAATGCTTCACAAACCAAAAAATTCAACGTCCTAATACTACTATCGGCTTTCGGTCTTTTGTTCCAAGTTAAATCATTTCTCGTTTTTTTACGCTACGAGTTTACCCTTGTGGGTCTCAATCCTGATAAGGTAGAAACCGCCATTTTAGCGTCTTTCGAATTTATAACAAAACTTAACTGATTTATTATTAACATCTATTGACAGATGGATACAGAAAATCGATAAATATTTGCAACTCGCGGGAATTTTAGATAATCATAATTTAAAAATTGGGAACTTTAAGAAAAAGGTTAATCCAGTTAATTAAAAATAGGAATGAATTTTTAGTTCATTACGTACCTTCGCGGTTGCTAGCTCTCCGTCTATAACATTAATATTGGCCAAAAAAGAAATATTTAAAGTATTTTATTTATTTTACCATTATTATAAAAATATCAAATAATTGTTATATTGATGTCACATTTTTTTACATTTTCATTCATACTCGTTATTTCTTTCACCAATTTCTCCAAATACCTCTTTGTCTAAGTGAAGTTCTAAATTTAGAATTCTTCGAGGAAACGATCCCATTAAGTCAAAGTCCAACATATTTGTTCGTTGAAAGTTGGAGCAAAACTCTATACACCATTCGCTTTCTTGTTTTTATTTTTGGAATGGAGCAGGTATATTTTCAAAATAATGAGCCAACTATATTCGATGCAATCTACGAAACTAACTTATTTCATTTCCCCGGGGTATGTGAATTTGAATTGTACCTACGAAGTGGTATACGTTTTAATCTATATTTACAGGTCTCTAAATATAAGCATTTTAATAGAATCATTTATGTTGAAGCCATATGGAAAACTTTTATATTATTAGTTTTACAAGAAAGTTACTCTTTATAAAAAGTTCTGAATGGTCTAAAATTTATGTTGAGAACATAAAATATCAAAATGTATCTGCCATATACAGAGTATAACAGAAAAGATTCGGTTCATGAAACAAAATGTGCTTCGATGAAATTTAATTTCCTCTAACTTTTTAGTTGTAGTTGCAGTCATCTTGAACAAAAGTGTTTGTTTATGATCAAAACTCAATCGTAGGTTTTGATATACTGTGTGTTAAAGTTAAAAATTTGTTATTTTTTAAAAAGTCCATGTTTTTTAACATTTACAAATATTTTCAAGACAAATACTTATTGGGGAAGAATATGTTCAGTGTGACCTATGACGTAAAATATTATTAGTTACTGGGTATGTAGTAAAATATATAGCTTTATTAATTTAAGGTATAGTCTGCACATTATTAATTGACTGTAATGACGTTGATTCATCTTTTATCTTTAAGATGCCGGATACCTTAATCTCAGCGAAGCAAAAGCACAGCTTAAACAATACAGCTAAAACACTCTCTTGGCGGCAACGGTTTGCGTCGATTTCGTCGCGCATCGCTTAAGCTCCGCCTTCGAAGGGAAAAGACGGTTTTGGCGTTCAGAAGCGTACTTAGGTAAGGTGTTGAGTCGTGCGTATAATTTCGTTGATTGTATAATTTCGTTGAGCCTATAATTTCGTTGATTTTGTTTGAGTTAAAGGTACTGTTATTATTTTGGTGACTCTTTAGCTGTGAGTAGAATGAGTGAAAAAAAAAAAGAAATCATTCTGTTTGTGCAGTCAAAAGCTGTTTTAATAAGGGTTATACCTGCAAGAAAACATTCTTTAGTTTTCCCAAGGACCGAAACCAATAAGTACCACATTATAAGAAATTTTCATTGTTAAAAATATAATTTATACAGGGTGTCCCATTAGTGCGTTATTGTTCATTATTTTGTAATAGACACGCAAAAAAGTTTTAAATAAAAGTTATATGGATTTGAAAAATACCTACATATTTTAAAAAGTTCTTTGGATATACAGGGTGTCACGTTTTTGTCTGGCAATTTAAAATGTATGTTTTTTAAATGGAACACATTGTATTTTATTTTATGATGAAATTATTAACACCCTAAATTATTGTAAAGACGAGTTGCTACAGAAAATTTTTATCAGGTATGTGTGTGGTTACCTTTTAATAAAAGCCTTGAGGATCCACTACTGTGATACC